ACCAATGCTGGGCAATTAATTATATAGTTACTTCTTCAAAAAAGTAACTGAGTTTTGCAAACAACAAAGTTTTTTGCAGCTGTTTACCTAAAAGGTTTTTTTTAAACAAACATTTCACACTATTTACAGAACAATCAGGTGTTCTGCATCAAATCTGATGCCACACAAATTATTTGTGCCACCAAGAAAATAATTTCTGTCCACTATGAGATAAAGGAGAACATCAAAAGCCTGATACCTGCAGGCCTGACAACAGGAGATGCATCACTCCTGTAACACCTGTAACATTTAGTTCTGACACACACAACAAAACTATTGAATACACTACACACTAACTACACAAGATTTGCGCTAAATGTCCCAAATCACTCACATCTCAAAACCGCCGTAACTTCTAAAACTTCCTCCCGTTTCTTTACAACTAAATGCCATGTTTTGATTGCTCGACATGGTACATTTTTCGACCAATAGGAAAGAGTGGGGGTGTTTTGGTTTTGTCTTTGCTAACAGGCGGAGATTGCGTTCGAGCGTTTTCCTTATAAAACGCTGTTTTTACTGTTTCAGGAAGGAAGAAAGAAAACCAAACATTGTATATTTCTCTTTTTTATCACAACTCTGGTTTCACATGACTTATCAACACAATTTAAAAAGTGGTATAAAGTCCAGACTTTTTCCCGTCTGTCCTGCTCACATCTCCAATGGTTGTACACGTTGTCATTAATGTGGCTTCACTACACATCAGCCACGCCGCTTTGCTGGCTAAAACATCGGTGTCGGCACAGAAGGACGCTGTCATAGCTTGTCAACGACGTTGATTAGCTGCGTATATACGAATGTGAATCGCATCATTGGCTGGACTATGGGATAAGGTGGCATCGTTCTAATCCCATAGGGGAGCAGCCAGTCACTCACTGACTAACACTGCAAAACAGAATTGTTAAAGTTTTAATTTTACGTTAATTTCAGGATAGATTTTTTTGTGCGCAATGCAGATTTTTTCTGCGCAGAGACCGTGCCAGCTGGTGCGCAGCTTAGAGGGAACATTGTGTAACAATGATGAAATAATTATAATACTGCAATGATGTAGTATTGTAGTGTTCAAGTATTCACTGCCTCATCTAACAATAATGTAACTGCTCCCATGTCCTCTCAGAACTCTTTTGAAATCAAGTTCCCTTCAGTGGTTTCAATTTATGCTAATGAAACATGCTTCAGTCAAACCGTGACCGCCTTCCACTGCCAACAATATTTACTGTACTTAATCAATATAGCACTGATAAGTAGTGCAGAAAGGCACATTTTTTCTACTACCTTAGAGGGTGACTTTACTGATAGACATTTCTATAGTATCTTCTTGTATGTTGTAATGCTTTAACTTAACTTACTTAAACTTAACTGTCTAACTCCTAATGCTTCACTTTTTGCTGGATGTATGGGAACAAAAACAAACTTCTGTGCAGCTTCAAATAAAGCAGATTTTATCACGCCTTTCAGAAATAATTCAGTAACAGTAAAGAGGTGAATTTAATCAAACCCCAGGCTGGGACATGAGTGTGAAAAGTATGTGAATACACAAGTTGTTTTTTTTAAAAATTTATTTACTCAGTTAAGGTCCAGTATTGACATAATCAGAGTGGTTGAAAATCCATGTTTGGTGACCTATGCTTCAGTAAAAACATGACAACTCTTTACTAAAGCAGTCTGTATTCAAGTATCAGAGCAATTAAATTGTTGTTGTACCTGAACAAAGCCCATGGAGGGCGGGCCAAAGTCACTGAAGGCTGGCCTGAAGTTGGACGACGATGGAAGAGAGGGAGAGGGCACAGAAGACCCTGGCCAGAAGGAGAGAAGAGATAGAACACATTAAAGGCTGAACCTAAAACACAAGCAATTTTGTTTCAAATGTAAAATCTTAAAAAATAGTTTAATAATACTATTA